GGTGAAGGACTAATGTTCAGAGACTATTATACTTCATACCATTCCAGATAAAAACATTTTTCTTGTAAGAACGTTCGAAGTGAATGATGGTATCGTAGTACCTAAAAGTTCAAAAGACTGTAAAATACAGAATAAAAGTGAATGGACAGTAAAAACATGATAAAAGTTATGGACAATGTTTAAACCCAAATGCCTAGATTTTAGTTAGAATAAGTTTTTTTTTTGAAAAACTGCCCCGGGGGCGGCAACCACGTCGGGGGCGGCGAAAACATGTAGATACGTCTGTTTCGTCGATCTCATCGTGTTCTACGTCCCGAGTTATCCCTGTAGCCCAAATTTCAGATTTTTCTTCCAAAAAGTTAGGTAAAAAGTTTTTGGACTTTGTTTTTTTGATGATTACGGCTCCGGGATCTGGTCCGTAACTTTTTTCAGAATCGACGGAAAAATCTGAAATTTGGTATGGGGGTACAGTGAACGATGATCTACCGATTGCCTATATGAGCTGCACCGTCACCGCCCCCGGGGGCGGCAACCACGTCGGGGGCTGCGAAAACATGTAGATACGTCTGTTTCGTCGATCACATCGTGTTCTACGTCCCGAGTTACCCCTGTAGCCCAAATTTCAGATTTTTATTCCATTTTTATGAAATAATAAATAATTTTTATGAATGAATAATTATGAAAAATACCTAGAAAATTTTTTCAGGACATGATTTTTGGTGAAATAAAAAAACTGTAATAACAGTTCAAAAATATGCTCACAAATGCAAAAATAAATTACTTGCAACAATTAATTTTTCAGTTATTGTTGATAATTTGTTTAAATTAAAAAACATTCAAAAACTGATTACATCATTCAATTCTACGGAAAAAAATTTAAAAAAAAATGTCATTATTTGACCCAAAACTTTATCTTTGTACAGTATTGCTATAAACATCTAAATCGAATTACAAATGCACAAATGATTAATTATCTCTGGATGATTTGAGATTTCACTAATACAAAGTATTAACTGCAAAGTCTACTGTTGACGCGAAATCCGAAAACCCGAAATTTTGCAAAATCGTTTTATTTTTTTTCTGACTATTTGAAAACAAATTTTAAATAAATTGCATATTTACATTGCCACTTTTTTCGCTCTATCCAATGGCGTCAATATTTTTGCAATCCGACGTTTCGTCTTCGAGGGGCCAAATATCCAACAATTTTTTTTTAATCCATAATTTAAATGTATGTTCATTTTAGCCGCCTTTCATGAAACGAATAATTTTAAAAAAATTTATTTGAAAATATTGGGCCTTGTATACAATTCATTACAATCCTCACAAATCTCATAGTGTTTCTCAAAAGGCGTTGCCACTCTCCTACGACGATGACGTAATGAATAACAGGAGAGACTACTCAATAATTTGTAATTCTTACATGTTTCAATAATCCCAAATGTCAAATCAAATTATAAAAAAATAATGAAAATGTATCTATTACAAATAATTGAGTAGTGTACACATACAAGTGTACCTGAAATACTTACGGTTGGCATATGTGGCAATCACAATCCAGGATGTCTTCATATCGGTGCTTCATTGGCTTCTTTCCAATTCCGGGATAGGCTCGCTTGATGTCTTCCAAAAATTTTCGAAGTTGTTCTTTCACCGTTCCATATTCATTCATAATATTTCTTCTGTACATCCATTCTCCAATATATTGACTGGCATATTCTATGCTGTTGCTTGATCTCATGTAGTCCTTTAAATCTCTCCAAGCTCTCTCTATGTGCTGCGTATGGTTTCTAAATGGTTGCTGTCCTGGCACGGGTGGTGGTCCATTCCATAACGTGTCCAAACATTCTTCATTAAACGTATCAGCTGGCATCCATATTGGTTCCTCTTCTTTGGGTGGATTAATAAAATTTTCTGAATGATTAATAATTCCATGTCCATTAAAAATTACGTCGCATTCCCCATATGCTCGCCAACAATCCGTGCAAATGTAGCTTTCTTCATCTATACATTGCTGCAGAATTGGTATCATTGTTTCGGCATCGCGTCTTTCCACTATTACTGCAAATCTCTTCTTTGTCGTCCGGCTTATTCCTCCTAATACCCAAATATGTCTCCATGTGTTTACTCTCCCAACGTTATACTTCCGTTTGAAGAGGTGAGTTTCATCCACTTCAACGACGTCTCCAGCACCTCCTATAGGCACATAGTCATGCCAGGCATTGGCACAAGCTACATCCCTACAGAAACCGTACCAGTAGCAAGCCGTCTCAGGAGATACAGACAAAATTGTCTGAACACGTATAAGTGGCTCTCGTATAANAGTCAACTCACCTTTCAAACGAGTTCTCGCAAGGAAAGTATTCTCCAGTGGACCAAATCTCTTCTTCGTAGGGTGGTTATTACAGCAGTATCTCCAACCATGCCTTGCCGTATCCGTTATCGTTGTAAGGATTCTGCCACAATCTGGGCAATTAGCTTCATCACGTCTATTCGGAATTATTCGAAAATATTCTAAAAATTTTATTCCTTGTCGATGTTGTGCTGCCTTCTTTTCGGGCGTTTCAATGCCTCCCAAACCTAAATAGGAACCTACAGTAAAATAATTAACTTGACCCTGCATAAAATCTGCAGGATCCATTATTATTAATTAACTAAAAACTAAAAACTTAATACTATTAATATTATTAACTATTAATACTAAATACTATTAATACTCCTAATACTTTACTATATTAATATAAATACAAATAAGGATACAACACTAATAAGTCGCTAGTCACAGATTTAATTTTCGTTTAGATTTCTATAAATGAATATATTCCCGAAAACAATCACTGTAACGGGGTAGGAGAACCTTTGACCAATAAGGGCGTTTAGATTTGGCGGATATGAGCACCGTGACGTAACATATGGATACGTTAGAACAGGGAATAGGAAAATTTGTCTCAGCCGTGGCTATGCAATGCCATCACCGCTTGGGACAGTCAGCCGGATTAGCGCGCGGTGTAGCAATTAGGCGCGCGTACGTTACTTCCATATGAGTTTCTGCATCGGCAGGATATACAGTGTGTCCCTTTTAAATTTTCTAAAATGGATAATTTTTTTATTATCAATTTTACAAAAAAAGGTATTCTTAATAAAAAGTTCTGCTTTTTGAAAAAATGATATTAAATTTATCACATTTGCGGTAGTATATACAGGGTGGCCAAAAATAAAAAAACAATAATCAAGCGTAGTACCTA